TTTGCTTTGCAAAGAATCATTTGCTTCCAAACCCATGCAGGTTTATAAGAGCAAATGGTGTGTACTGCAAATTTGTTGTATTCATTCAAGGCTGCAAACATTATTTTTCTCAGTCAACAGATGCGAGGCTGACCTCTTCCTAGCTATTGTAGAGTGTATTTTTAGCTTTAGATCACTGCTATCCTTTTGCAACTTGCATTTTTAAAAGTAGGTTGTTGGCTAAATCCTAATGGCTCTTCAAACTGTTTTTTGGGGTTAGTGTCATCCCAAATTACCTGTTCTATAATCTAGGACTTCACCTAGAGGACAGCGTACGTTTCTGAAGATGGGGGAATTGTACCTCTGTAACTGAGAGAAGAATTTTAAGTGTACCATAACATTTATTAACAAATTAATTCAGACAACTCGCTGTAAAATTATTCCTATTTTACAGATAGGGAAGGAGAGGCATGCAATGAAGCTTAATTTAAACAAAAATGTCTTTTTTTTTTTTTTTTAATACAAAATATTACTTGGCATTGCACTATGCTGAATCTTACTTTCCTTCTTTCCATTCATATTCCTAATATCTTTGGGTAACTTTTTAAGTTATATTTCTGTCTCACTACTGTTCCCACTGTACCATTTGTGAAATTTCATTGGCATGAGGCTTACTGCTTTCTTTCAGGTAATAGATGAATATATTTAATAATATGGAAGCTAGCACTCATCATTGTAGGACTCCATTATACTCCTAAATGCACTGTGATACACTGCCGTTTATCATTACAATTTCTCATAGGCACTGGAGTGTGATGGAGAGCAGTAAGATCCCAATTCGAAAAAAAATGCCTACCATATTTAGGAAAGTATTTCTGCATATGCTTGACTTTTTAAGTATATACTTAAATTCCTTGCTAAAAGGGATTGGCTTTTTTTGAATGGAGCTTTTTAACGTGTAAGCTTGAACACCATTTGTGCGCCATTGAATATTTAAAAATCCCCTTTATGCAAAACAAAAGACTGTCTTTGGGATAAAGCAAAATTCAGATGCCAGTTGTACTTCCAGCTTTCTTTAAAGAGTTAAGCAAGCAGCAAACTTTCTTGGAGCAGACGCACATGTGTTCTACGTGCTGCTTAATTTTGGAATGCATTTGGCTTGAACCAATATTCCATTTTGCTTTCAACAAAAATCTGTCCTTGGTTTATTTTTGTCAGGACTTTTTAAAAGTAAAAGACCTTTTAGCAGACAAATTTTTAACAAGATAGACATTTAGTTCAATAGGAGAATTTTCTCGGTGTGAAAAATAAATTACAAGAAGGACTGTGCATCAAAAAGATAATTAATAAAAACCTTCTGTGTGATGACAAATTTGACATCTTGTCTAACGTCTGGAAGAGAAGAAAGTGTTTAGAATTGCACAGTTAGAATAAAATGTTCCATTTCACAGCAAGGCCAGGGCTCTGTCTTATAATTATTTCAAAGAGAGTAAAGGTCACATTCTGTTTGCTAAGTTGATGTTACATGAGGCCTGTGTACCAGCCTTACGGAAGTTAACTTGTGGCATATTTAGATTTGTTCTGATTTCCAAGCAAACTTACACCATCAGAAATCTGATAGGCTGAACATGTCTTCCGAACATACTGACAGAGTTGATGTCCAAAGCAGGATTTTTTCTTCTTTTTTTATAGCTCTGCAAAATATGAGTTGTAACTTCAAGATGCCAGATGCTGTGGGAGATCAAACTATGATTTGTCTCTTCTTTGCCATAATTATCTTTGGAAGCAAATTTATGTTTGTAATTAATTTTTAACCTGCCCTTTAATTATGTGAATTCGCTGGGATTATTTTTTTTCAATCTAGACTCATTGTGTAACTTTTGTTAATTCATTGCTTGTGTCCTGAGGTGGGAGTATAGGAGGAGTGGCACACTTTATTCTGCATTTGCCTCTGCTTGTGCATCCTCATTCAGTGAACATGCGTCAATATTCAGTGATGCAACTGTGCAGGAAATGTACACATTTATTATTGCTATGATTCATCATTACTATGATTATGATTATTTTTGCATGCAAATGGTCTGTTTACATATTCAAATAGCAAGATGGAACGATATCAAATGTACATTGAATGTCCCACTTGCACACTTTTGAGTCCAGGCTTTGAAATATAGCATTAGTATAGTTATGTCCTCAGGACTGAGTGACCCTTGGAGGACAGAGTAAGGCCCTGGCGGCCGTATCCTCAGTTGGTGTAATGTTGGTGAATTTCCATTAGTTAATTGGCGTTCAATTAATTTGTGCCATCTCTCAATCTGAGACTAGGCCCGCATATCGCTGCTAACTGAGCATAGCTTTGGAGAAACGTATTTGGAAAGTAAGGGCTGCAGCAGTTGTATGGGAAACCTGACAATATTGTAAAATGACTTAGACCTTGCTTGGCCTATTATCTGGCTCAGTCTCTTGTCTCTTCTATAGTTTATTGTTTTAACAAAGGGACAAATGTGGCGCAGGTCATTAAGGATGAGAAATGTGTCCATCTGCTACAGTTTGAACACTGCCAACTCAATTGTCACGAAACATTCTGGCTACCGCACAAAGTCTGCGTGTACTTTTTAGCCAGTCTTTTACAGCAAGTGTCACTGAGGTGAGAGAGACTCCCCAAGAGTCCGTTTCTGTAAGAGGAAATGAGACCGACCAGGTGGAGATCCACCCTCCTCATGCCTCAGAAGCCAACAGCGATTCTGCAGTGCAACAAGGGAGAAAAGCAAGTTGCAAACATGAGTAGCATTTTGATTCTTTAACGAGACCAAACCAGCGATGGCTAAGTAGGGAAGACTGTGATCTTGGGCTGCTCACACTTCCGACTTGTCTTCTAAAGTCACGCTGCACTGGAAGGACTATCTACATTGGAGGAGGTTTATTTGTTAGAACAGTGTTCTCCCATGCAAGAAGGGCATGGCCCTGCCTTACTAGCAAACAAAGGATTTGGAACAAGTCTTCACAACTTGGGACCATTTGTGTTCAAATCCCATAATAATATCTATCTTCTAAAGAGGGATGAAGGTTGTGTGCCCATTCCCATGTGTCCCTTACTTAATTTTTTTTCTTTGTGTATCCAGTTGAAGGAGGCATTTTGGATCTGATTAGTTTAATTCAAAGGGATCCATCACTTATTCTGTGTCTCTGAAAGTCCATCCTAAAAGGTACTGAGTTGAGAATTGTAATAGTGTAACTAGGGGTTGGCGAGAGGAGTACCCACTCTGGCTGCCAAGTTAGGAAGGGCGCTGGATTTCCTCTCCTCTCCTCTCCTCCCCACCTGAGTTCATGCCCTGGCATCATACCAATGCACAGAGCCGACCATAGTGGGATGTGGGCAAATCAGCTTGTCTGGGGCCCCTTAACACTGCACGGGGCTGTGGTACCCCTGCAAAGGGGAGAGGGGTCCCCATATTTCAGCCCTGCCCACCAACTCCAGGCAGGTCCCACGGGAGGAGCCATGCCCACTTTGCCCAGCTCTGCAGGGGCCCCTGCAAAGTGTGGGGCCCAGGGTAGTTGCCCTGATTTTTGCCTTACCCAAGGTACAGCTCTGCCCATGCAGGTGACTCCAAAACAGGCACCGGCTGCTGCTGCTGCTTTCACAACAACAGCTGGGGCAAGCCAAATGTGTGGCAGAGG